GCCCATGGAACGGAGTGAAAATGCTCTTCTATCTTGTACGGACTGCGATGACGACGGAGGGAGGGGAATGACTGAATTCGGTGTTATTGCTCCTTTTAGTATAACCGTAGCTGTAGCCAATGGTAGAAGAGCAGAATGCGGTTCATTAACAATGGTCCCAATTATTCCCAAGAATGCTGTACAGGTCACGTCAACGATTTCTTACACTGGTTGGACGCTGGAGGGGAAGAGATGCGACGATCAATGAAGTGTCGCACAGCTTAGCGGCGGAGAGCTGTGGGACTGGGGTTACACTATAGATGGAATTTCAATAAAGAAGAAAACACACAGCGTTGTAGTAATAACGAAGGCCGTGCTGCACGTAGAAACTGCTGTTTCATGCCTGGGTGTTGGGGAATCTGAGACTCGAGACGGCAAGCATAAGCGGGTCAACTGGAGGAGCTAGATACGCGACATAACACGTGACGCAACCAGAAGACAGGCCGAAACGTGGACAGGGGAGTCAAGGCTTGTAGCAGATTTTTCAATGAAAAGAGGGCTATCCATGTGACATGCACGTGACGATTGAACAGGAACGCGACCTAACGCGCCTCTAAATCTCGTGCAGGATGTGTGCCAGTTCGTTACAGGTTCATAAGAGGCACACTATTGCACTACCTTGGATTTTTTGAAGACAACAGGCATCGATAGGAAAAATAAAGTTAGTTGCTACTAACACAAAATTTCAATAGTAATAATAGCATATAACGCTTTGATGATCTGATCCATATAATCTCCAAACAAATCACGACTTCATTTATCGCCATAATTTTCACGATCTGGAGCGAAGTCAAACCCAACGCACCTTAGACATGACCTTAGTACATCTGTCTGTCAGTTCCGAAATGCGACATTTCGTGAACATGTTTGCGTCCTTGTGCGGGAATAGTATAAAGCTGCGCAATATTCAACAAGAAACAGGCACGCATCTCACGACCGGTTTCTAGGAAGCCACGATAATCGTGCTATTGGACAGGGATCAGGCCGTGCCGGAGCCTGAAGAAGCACGAGGGAGCCCTGATCATCAAGAGAAAGCTGATGGGTCTAAGAAGCGGCAGAATGAGCATCATATACCTGGGGAAGCCCGAAATTATTCTCCTCGCGCAAGTATGGCATTATAAGGCCATCGTCTTCTGCATGATCGGTAGCCGTTTGAGCTCTAGGGTTGAACGGGATATCCTTGATCTTCCAAAAGCCAAACGTGAAGAAAACGAGAAGACATGAGACAGTTTAAAAAGTGTTTATATTGGAAGGAACCCAGGATTCCTCGGTGAAAGTGCGCTATAGCAAAGAATCGACGGGCAAATATATTGATACGAAAGCTGAAGAGTGTATTTTTCGTCTTGGAATGTCCCTGCATGAATATGTGTTTAAAAGAAAGACCGCTCGAGGTCTTTATCTGTCATTTGGTGGTTATGAGAGGGGTTGACATTTATACTCCTTTGAACGAGGATTGTGGATACAGGCGGTTTCGTATTGCATCTATTTCTTCACGGGATAGCTGCGATGAACCGAGCATTTAGTAAACTGCCCAAGGACGTGGCGTGGAAGCGAACACAAAGCGTCAGGTGCGGTGTCGGACCTAGGTAGAACGTTGATCATAAAAGGGTGGTTGGCATCTTTATAGCGTCGTCAAGGCGATGAAGTATTGAGTTACGATACTAATATCATACCGTATCTCATGCTTCCATTAGCGGGTGCTAGGTCAGGACCGTCCCATCTTCCCAGACAGCAGCGATATCACAACGCGCAAACCTGATAGATTCTAATCAATCGATCAATCAATACATGTACTAGCGCAAGAATGGAACGAATACAAACGGCGTAGCCGGACTAAAGCCATCGAAGGCTAGCGAGTGGATGGTCGCATCGAGTAAACCCGGCAATATCGGCCATGATCTTGAGTTGCCTATGCAACAATATTTTGAATCATGCGGGGCTAAAGACGAAACAAAGTGAAACGTCAGGATTCTTACCCACGAGCAACGACGGCGTCACCTTGGTTGGAACGTAGGGGAGAAGATCTCTAATACGTCTTTTAGGACTAGTATCTCATTGGCTAAAGTGAGTAACACATACTTTCCCCCAAACTTTTCACAAAAGGCGAGGCGACGAGACGAAATGGATTGGTAGCAATCGACATGGTTGCTTGATTATCACTGGTCAAGAACTAGCCAGTGCCACCTCGAAAGACCGATTTAAATGCGATCTAAATTTTCTCCGAATTGAGTGTAACACGTGACCATGGAAATAAATCAAATCGGCCCGTTGAATTCAGCATTCATCGACTAATTTTGCAAATTTCATTATGCGAGTCTATTTCATCCATCTCTGATGTACGATGTACGAAAGGGTGGTTTTAATTGACGTACGTATATCTCTTATTGAATTGGTGGCTGAACAGAATTGCATGCACATGGATGAAGCTTCTCAGAAGCAACCATCTAGCTATCTCAGATTACCACCTGCGCGACCAGGTTTTTCTCCGCGTCTCGTAGCACGCCAAACGATTCCATCTAGATATACTCTACTTATTGCGTAGACAGAGCCTACGACTTTTCTGTTTGTTCCCTTCTTGGGACCGACGAGCTGCTTCCCATCCCGATTTTCTCGTTCACCAAAGCTCCCTCGAACAAGTTTGCAAGGTCATTGTCAAACATCAACCAACTTTAACCTCGTTCTCAAATTCATGAAGGCCGAACTAGATCATTATGTGTTCGTACCGCAGTAATAACTGGGGACTGAGTCAGCTAACCCGCGTATAGTCCACCAGTCCTTCTCGGCTACGAAGTCTGTTTGATTCATCGCCTAGAGCTCTCAGAACTCAGAACTCTCCACATTGGTCACAGGACCTATACATAGATTGCTACTATCCAGGAATGATTATCTCCGTCTACGATATGATTCCAGCATCCTAATGCTTGCTGACTGTTGCTCTAATTCAGTGATAGGCTACTCTTCTCGGAATTCACCCTTATTCTCCACCCATCTCCCTTGCTTGCGGAACCGAAATTAATTATCCAGGGCTTCCGCCTCTCTCCGCCCGGGATCACACGGCTGACCCCCCGCATCGGTCATTGATCCACCTTATCAAAGTAGCTACTACACACATGGTCCCGTGTTGAAGTATTTGTCCGTGAGGATCTAAGATCGCGTTGATGGCGCCACCGTCGGCTTCCACAGTCGATCATCGTTCGATGTTCGAAGTTGCCGGAAGTAGTAGTTGACCATACCGTTCTTCTACTAGAGAATGAAAGACGGTTTTTGATGATTCCGGGCCGGGCGCGGTAAGGCTACAGCAACGCAGGAAAGGAGGCGAAGCGTGACCGGTGACCACTGCTGACCTGGTAGTCCACGATAAGTATAGAAAAATATAGTAATAGTGACAAGAAAGGTAAACATATTATGCATACATAAAATTATAATCGATATAAATAATGCAATGTATATTGGGACCCAGAGGTGCGTGCACCTATGTTTACCCAATAAGTTCTGTATCTTTCTAACATTTGTTCAGGATTGTCGCAACCCATCCCCCTTTCGCTAACGCGCCGAGTCCCATCTCGTTAACGCAGTGTGCCCGTAGGTACGCCCTTTCTCGTATCCCCTCATCCACCACTACTTATGCCGACGGTTCAGATGGCGGGATAAGCATCGATAAGCCCCGATGTCGAGATGCGAGCACGGAGTAGACATGAGACGGAGGTTGGGACACAGTATTGATGGTGCGTATCATTTTACTTTCATGACCTGATCCACCTTTCTCACCCTCCGTCAGGATCATTCCGACGCTTCCCGCTCTCCAATGCACAGATTCACCCTAGGTTCAAGCCGTGCCGATGGTACGTCGTTTATCTCATCCCCCCGTTTCTTTACTGACGCTATCGATAAGGTCGATCAAGGCTTGTTAAGTCGGATTTCGAAGTGCGAGCTGTAAGGTGGGCTTCGATCTCTTTTTTGCTTTGACTTGGTATGTTGACGAGTACTCGCCAGGCTCACGGTCGACTAGAGTGATCGCCGATCGGCAGGTGAGTGATCGACGCGATCGCCATCACGACCCACATGCAGGCACGGGGGAGGAAGAAAAGCACGTACCTGGTCCTCGTATTGTGGTCCTCGACTCATGACATTTCCGTCAGCATGCTCGAATGTTCAATTTTCAATACCGATGCTTGGATGAGAGTAACTAGGTTATCGGTGCGTGCACTAATCTTTGACCGATTTTTCTTTTCTGAACTTTGCTTAGGTTCAAACATTCACCGTTGATGCATCGATGGCTCGGTCACCGAATGCGCGCGCAGTCTCCCCCTCGAACATGTTCCATCAACGATGCGTGATCTTCCCATTCATCATTTCCTCGCTGACGCCATCTGTCCAGAGCGTAGATTGCTGAATCTCATACGCCATCGATGACGACGACCAGCGCCAAATACGCCCAGACTTTACGTGTGTACCCTGGTAATAGTAGTACTTACCTTCGAGCCGTAGTCATCGACAACAGCGATGAGTGTCGAGGAGACGAGTGCGGAGGGCACAGGAGCGAAGTGCGGATACGGATGCGGATGCGCGCACAAATGGGAGCGAGTGCGGTGAGTGTGCCCGGGAGGAGGATGAAGTGTGGAGGGGGGTGCGGACGGTAGAGGGGAGACTCGTTCAGAAGTCGGGGAGGGAGGTGGGCACTTCAACGGGATGGGCTATAATTAGCTTGGGAAGGGATGTGATGGGACTACCCTCGTCGACAAGGGGGATATTCTTAGACAAGAACGGGGTAGGCGTGCTCGTCATGTCGGGCGGAAGTGCATTCCGTGAGTCAGTTTTGTCTCACAGGCCCTTATGAGCTGCAGAATAATTTTATGCTTTATTTGTGAGAGAGGATGAATAAATCTTCCCTCCGTGCTTTGGACTCGAGCTTTGAGCATGTGAACTGCAGGAGTCATCTGATTGCTTTCTATCACCTGACCGTGAAGATTACAAATCTTATTTCAATTTTAAAGTCCACTTTGACTCCACTTATCGCTTCTCGTCGCGAAGACATCTGTAGCTTCGCCTTCCGTGCAGACCATCATTACCAAAGTCTGGAATATTAACCTGGACTTCCTCTAGTATGTTTTCCTTCCAGTGCTCCAGAGCTCAACAGCTAATGCTTGCCGTGTGCAGGTCCCTTCGGTCTTCTCTCGGTTATTCCGCAGAAATTGTTGAACTGTTGTTTCGAGGTCCGGTCTTTTCCTCCCATTCTCTAGCGCCTTTAGATTTCATCCTCTACCTTAGGAAATTGGAAGAACCCAAGTGCACCTTATCATGCCTGCAGGGCGGCTTTATTGCACGTCTTGTACGACTCCGTACAATCTTACCAATATCACCTCAAAATATGGGTCTAGCAAATTCTCCGAGCTGCCTGCTGGCCTTACCCGTCTTCTCCAGACCAATGAACCGCCGCCCTATCAAGACCTTCTCTCTCATCGAACATCCCTAAAACTCGTTCATGACGTACTCTCTGATATCGATGTCGATATCGAACAAATATCCGCGCCCTTAAGGACTTGAAGGCATGGCGTGAGCGTATCGTGCTGAGAGAACAGCAGTATCAGTCGCTCTTATCCCCAGCCCGACGTTTGCCAAACGAAATTCTGCGAGAAATTTTCCTGTGCACCAAAGAGATCGCAGGGGAATATGATCTCTTCGATACATCGGTAGGTCCATGGGTCCTAGGGGCGGTATGCCAGTCATGGAGATATGTTTCAACGACAAAGTGCCCTGAGATTTGGACCGGTTTCGGGATTACCGTGTGGGGGCTTCATAAGAGAGAACCCAGGGCCCCTGTCTCTCTCCTTAAGACTGCCATTGGGCGTACAGGCAATAAGGACATTGACTTTTCATTCGATTGCATTTTGGTAGAGACATGCAATAGCAATGTCTCCAGACTATTCTTCGAAGTCCTACAAGAATCACCACGTTGGGCAGTCGTGAGACTCTTTCTGCACAAGAAGCTCTTATCGCCCCTCCGACAGGTTGTAGAGCCATTTTCCCGCCTATCAGCGCTCGCCTTTGGAATTAAAAATCTGGCCCCCATCGATAACGTGAATCTTGATGTATTCGAGGACTGTCCTAATCTCAGCGTTGTTCATCTTCTCAGCTCTCCCTGCCCTACCCGTCTTTCGATCCCATACTCCCAGCTTACGTCTTTTAGCGATATCGTGACAAAGGGCACTGAGACTCTCCACGCGCATTATCTTGACATCATTCGTCAATCGCCTCATCTCCGAACGATATCGCTGCCGTATAGCATCCCCCCCACGCATCCGTTTGCAACCCCTGCCGAAGACACCCGTATCATTCACAATTCCATTCAAGAGCTTTCCATTGCAGAGAATCTTCTGTTCGTTGCCTTGCAGCTCCCCCAGCTCACAATATTACACGTAGGCACGAGCACTTTTTTTAACCGAGACGGAGGTACGACCCTCACCAATATAGCTGGAATGCTGGAGGCGTCAAAATGCTCACTTACGGAGCTATCCCTGACGAACATACCAATAACGCATAATATTCTTGCCATTCTGCAACTCTCACCTCTCCTCTCCACGTTGAAGTTCTTGTTCACTGATTGGTGTCAGTCATCGGTAGCGGCCCGCCTGAAGTTGGACGATCTTTTGATTAAGCTAGCTCTGTACACGCATGGGAGCGGGTACAATTTTGTTCCGCAGTTGGAGACTTTTGACGTTTCCATTTGCGAAGAGCATGATTTACATGTTGGTTTCATCTCGCCGAAGCTCGTGGACATGGTCTTGTCCAGATGCTTAAAGCATGATGCATCGCCACTAAAGGGGGTGAACGTTAATATCAGTGTGCCAAAGCTCGATGAGGAGTTATGGTACATGAATACAGATCGGATGCAGGAGCTGAGAGAATGCGGAGAAAGGGGGGTTACCATCGACCTTGCGGTCCAGGATAACGAAAAGCAGGTATGGAAATATGTCTGAGTACCTAGTATACAGAGCGGGTCTTATTCGTCCTATATTCATGCCAGTCTTACGGCCTTATGCCTCTATCAATCACACAGTTCTAGCTTTGCGGTCATTGACCTGCTCTATGAGTGTCTGAGGATAATTTGAGCTAATACACGAGTTAATGAATACTTGAGTAAAACTCATGAGCGAGGATGTCCGAAAGCCGAGTTCCAACCATCAAGAAGGATCCGTAAGGGTGCTAATAAGTGCTAGGCGTAGTTAACGAGGGCGTCAGCAAGCGCTAGGCGTAACTGACTGTGTTTCCGAAAAGTGCTAGGCGTAGTCGGGAAGCAATTGATTGGCAAGCGCTTGGCGTAACCGATCAGAGCTCACAATTAAGTGGACTTCGAAGAGGAGTAAAATTAGCTTGAGATTCCAATACAAGGACAAGTACAATATTTATATACCACTAATAAGGGATTGAGTCATGATTATTCTAGTATTCGCAAGAAGAGAGAAAGTAAGAGAAAGCCGAGGTCAAGACCGAGAAGGCCGAGAGTAGGCATGTGTTGACTCATGTACAGACCGGAAAAGACACGAGATCCATAACAGTGTCCTACGCTTTCTCCTTCCTCGTTCTCGGGCCAGCGTGACCCGTCTTTCGAACTTAGCTTTCAGGCTCGGAAAAATGTTCACTATGCATTCAGTACCTCGATTCGTTCAAGAACGATATAGTACTATTGAAACTTGATACACATGAGAAGAAAGTCGCCTTGTGAAAGATAGCCGGACGAATAGTTCTACGAGAAAGAAGGTTTCTATCACTACGAATATTCAAATGAGCTCATCGCATATCGGCAGCATGCCACTCAAAACTGCATACACTCTGCATTGCATTCAAAATAAACGAGTTTAATCTGAATGAACAAGAAATCAGGAACTTTGTATAGGGAATCAAAGGAAGAAATATGCGTTCGAATATAAATAGTGACAATTCACGCTGTCAGGACCCAATCATGAAGCGGCGCATAGAATTCAAAAGTATTAACGTCGGCCAGTGGTAGATTTCACTTCGAAGGGCCATCAGATGGTACTTGGCTTTCTTCGACATCTCCAGTTGCATCTCGAGCTGTATCAAGAGCATCTGAATCCAAAAAATTATCAGAAATGTCCCGCAAATCATAAACTAGGACATTACCAACCGTCGTCACTCTCCACGGCTTTTAGTTTTTTATTCGGCTTCTCTCTCTCATCGTCAGCCTCATATCCACGGCTACGCTTCCCGCCAAAAGGCGACGACGTTGGTAAGTCGCTAGCATGAGAAGCAGGCGCACGCCTAAGACCAGTCTCGCATGCTACCAACGCTCTAGAGGTGCACCACACTGGCATTCTCTTGGCTAAACAACGACAACGCCTTGAACCACCGCTATAGCAGGAATAACAAAACACGTACTGAGAACCTTTTTCTTCTTTCCGACAGGTGGGGATGGTGAAGGAGGTTCCTGGTCAGGAAATCCTCGCTTCACGTCGCGTTTGCAACGGAGGTCGCGCTGGCCGGTACTTGGGAGGCGTAGGAGTTTACGGTCGCCCGGAGTCTTGGGGACCTGCGATAGTGGCGCTACGACGTCCTACGGTGTCGAGGTTCAGTACCAGTGGCTACTCATGATCGGGGGACAAGAGCAACGTACTTGTTCTTCTCTAGTGATGCTTTCACCATCTAGAGCAGTGCCCTAACAGACATTAGAGTGGCAGGAAAGATTTGATTCGAAAAAGGTGTACCTCTTCCTCGACGTCGGTGGCTACCTGATATTACGCCGGTTAGCACACGATCAACTCTAAGGGGCAGAGCCAGTACTAACTTCGGTAGAGACCTCACTCTCTGCATCTGAGTCATCCTTGGGTTGTAGTGCTGAGGGCGATTGACGTTTCTCTCTCAACAGAGGACCGAGCACGAACAACGATGGGTCGGGAGACGCCTCGACAGCAGGTTCTGGCGGAAAGAATACCCGAGGACGGTTGGTAAACATCGTGCTGAATAGTGATATTCGGAGTGGCTTGGTGGCAATTATATACAGTTGAACAAAAAGTCAGGTCTTCCATTTATGAGCTTGAGTTGTCACATGATCCTGATATTTTGAGTGCAGAGGAAGGTATTGTTCAATGTAATTGGTAATAGGGTATAATAACTGCCGCTGCCAGGTGTGGATGCGAAACAGATCATCTAGGCCGGTCTATCAGTAGAGATAACAGATACTTTGGAACCGAAACGTACAGTGGTACCAAGATCCCCGTCCACGCGTCCTTCGTCAGTACTGGAACTTGATGTACCTTGTCGCAGTTGATTTCCCACACCTTTTTCGCTATCATCTCTCCACATATAAAGCCTCATAGGAGTGCCACAGCGAACGCAGTATGTGAAATAGGCTGCTATACGTTTTTTTTCCAAGTGTCACCCAAATGCGGGGAACAACTATACGTGGATGGCTAACATCGAGGATCAGCCGGAGATTTGTACAGGCGAATCAGTAATCGCTAGTGATGTGCCACGAAAGAACCAGCAGACCGCATATATATAACCATGCTTCGTCAAAGTCTCACTCTACCAGTTATGCCTCACGGACATCGGTTGCTGAATATTCTTGTTCCGAAGGACTTGTTACTGGCCATCATGGAAGTTATAGTATCAATGTCTATCAAAAGAAAAATACAGAGGGAAGGATCTCACCATCCGCTCACATATATCCATTCTTTGCTGAAACGTCTGTTCCTGGTATATTGCCCGAGGACAGCGGGGAGGCGCATGCTGAGTAGATTTCAAAATTATTTGGAAGCCTATAAGCTCTTCTTTCCCTTCTTGTTGCCGTTGGTCCGTCACCGTCTCTACTCGCCTAGGAATTTATGACATTTTATTTCCGCCAAGGGAACAAGAAATTCCCCGTGTAATGTAATGTACCCAGACACGTGGATAATTACACCTCCCTTACACGCCGCAGATACATCGCTGGATTTGCTTTTTTTTTGGGGGGGGGAACAGATAACGAAGTCCTAAGAAGAGACCGACGACTTCCTACGCGAGAAGCTCAATAGGACATTGGTTGATAAAATGTATCCAGCCTACTGTTCGTTATAATCTACATGCGTCGAGTCGAAGTTTCGTGTCCAAAGGTCGCAGCTATATATATCCCAAAGACGTGTATATCGGATACAAGTTGATTCGTAGTCATGCCAAAGTCATGCTGAGATGGGAAGCAATGGACCGTGACTGGACATAGCGTTATCGTCGCCTATGAGGGAAGAAAAAAAAACGGAAACAGAGACTGCAACAAGATGACAAAAGAGTTACAGCGTCATGTTCATGAGGAATAGAAGTTGAACATAAGGTTGAATGCCGAATCCAACGGAAGAGCTTGACGTGCCGCGGCAATATCCGCGGCGCTCAATATTGGGGTTCTGCGTGTCAAATCTTGCTCCGTCTAGGCTGCAATGGCTATTCTCTCGTTTTCCTGCGTCGCCGACTTCCCGCGTAAGGTCCCATTCTCTCTTAATACAGCGCATGTATACTACTTCTGGTCTTTCCTTTCCTGCTTCAGGCTCCTTCCTGAGTCCCCATTCAAGTTTCAACTTTCGAGAAGGCTTACCGTGAGTTGTTTCTCTTCAATGTTACTGAATTATTCGTTGGATACTCATCCTACTCTTTTTATTACAGTATCCATAGCATTGCACCCCTTTTCTACTTCTCAAACGTGCATCAGACTGCATCTTTCCCTCCGTCGCCTCAATAAAGGCTGTTCGCTGTCTGCTCACGTAATTTGTACAAGAGTTCCCTTTCTACGAAAAGTGACAGCGTGTAATATTTCCGCTTTTTTCGCTCCTCGGAAGAGTGTCAGCTTGAATATCAATCAACATTCGGCGCTTGTCTCAGGTTCAGCACTTACAGGGAGTACTGATGATGATTAGAAACCAACTGATTTTTTCATCATAGTAGGAGTTTCCGACTGCAGTACTTCAATAATCAACTTCTGCAACAGGGGGCGAAGCCAAGACAGAATATTCAATTTGGTTCATTCGTTTCATTCTTTGGTCGCAAACTTCGCTGATTTATTTTCAGTGTCACAGTATCTGTCTACATGCTACTCAGTACCTCTGTCACTCTGTATCTCCGACCATCATATTATCAAGCATCTTGAGTCACATCGCTCGCGCGCGCAGCATATCAATACCAGGCTATGCTATTTCCCCTTGGACGTGATCGGAACGTCGTCCCCTTCTTCGACTGACTCTTCATAAACTCGTACTAGGACGCAACTGAGTCCTGTGTCCTTGAAATGACTTGCTATACAGAATGTTTTTCTTGATTGAATCCGAATTAATGCCCTGCTTCAAGTGGGCGTTCCGTCCTAATCGACAACATTTTCCCAGAACCGTTAATGCAATGATTTACTCTCAATGTAGTCTATATAAAAGCTGTATTTGCTCACGAGCTTCCTCAGCAACTTCTACGACATGTCCGACGACAACCTCGATCTCATGAAAACCTATACCATCAGTCTCTTCCTGGAGAGCATATTCTTTGGGGTCTACCTCGTCTCCTTCGTACTCTGTATGCGCTACCTCATTTGGGAACGATGTCCAGAATTCAAGCTGAACAAAACGCCCAACTGGAAATTCATCATCATTACTGTTTTATTACAGGTTCTTACGGCTATACACGTCTCGTGTGCCCTCGCAAGAATTCTTCGAGCTCCAGACTCCGAAAGGAACTGGGTAAACATTATCGCGGTGAGTTTTTCTTCACGTTTCCCATCATTTCTGGTGGCTGATGGGCCTACAGTCTACGGGGATCGGTTTAGCTGTAGTTACTATCGATGCAATCCTGGTATCTCCTTACAAGTACTCCTGTCTTTCAAAACTCATTATTATACAGATATACCGTTGCTGGATCATTTACATGAAACAATGGATCATCATAGTCATGCCTGTTCTCTTATGGACTGGTAGTGTAGCGATAACGATCTATTCAATAGTAGAGCAAGTGAGGTATCACCCTCAGGGTCCACCTTCTCGTGATACCACACAGCGACCGGGCTCACACGCTCGACATTGGGTCATTTTTCTTGCCCTGACGATCGTCCAAAATATTCTCACAACTGGTCAGTTAGCCTGGGGTTAAATATGCAGGAGCTGAACGTCTTGTCTAGCTCTCATTGCATGGCGAATCACCATTATCGACCGTGAATCATCGCAGTACCGAATTCTAAGCAGAGTATCCCGATATCAACGTTCTGTCAGGCTAATCATTGAATCGGGTGCTCTATGCACTCTAGCTGCTTGTCTAGCGTTCATCACATTTCTTGCCGGCGGAAAGTTTGGACTCATCGCTGCTGATCTCGTAAGTGCGCTTCTTTGTTTATCTGCCCTCCTTTTATTCATTGTGATTCTGATAGGAAATCCAGCTCGTGTCCATCGCTTTTAACCTCATTATAATCAGATCCGCTAACCGACCTGACGAGTACTGTCTATCCCCAGCTTCTACCGGATCTGTCAGGCTACATGAATTATTCAAGCGATCTCAGCAATCAATACTAGCGACGAGCAGTGCGGCCGAATCAAATATACTGCCAAAACCTGTAGAGGTTTGCATCATAAACGAGGTACTCGAATCACGAGACGGTCAACGTGAAACTATTAAAGCATAGATATAATGATTCTCCTTTACCGCATGTGTTACGAACATTTCAAGGAACACATATAGTTACGCTAATGATTCATGTTCGGAGGCTTCGGCGCACTACATCTAAAGAATAGTTCTAATCATTTATGTCCGTTATCATTAAATATCGATACGAGCTGCGTGTAGTATCGCTAGGTGAGATATCACAACATGCGTAAGTGGAACGTACCATAACAAAGATAGCTAGGATCTTGCTATCTGCCACACGGACACCGCGCTGTAATACAAATATATATCGAATTCCGTGTCAGAAACAAACGAATCTCACACTCATAACATGCGTATTGCGGTACTCTATCCGTTTCACCTTACCGTGCATCCATACCGGAGATCTACGACCGTATCTAGCAACCGTTGTCTCCTCGCCTTGATCATCATATATTAGTCGATGTATACAAGGAAACCTTTTATTAATACACACGGGAAGTAGGAAGTAGGTGGTCTACACATCTGCGACTCGCGAGATCGGAGTTAAGGCCGATGTTGGGCCGATGGCGAAAGAAATTAGGCGCTTGGGACACCAGCGATAGTGGACATGGTCATTCCAATTACCTCAGACACCGGGAACTGTAGGCCGTCTGTCGTCAGTGGCTATATCAGTGGAAGAAGTGACAAATCATTCACTCACGACCATATAATCGTTGCCCTTAGTGATCTAGAGTACTTCGACCGCAATGCTTCCCGAGTGAATGTCAAGTTCTTCCGCCATACACCAAAACGACAGTACGGTAGATCAAGGATAAAACGCGATTTCTATTATGATAAGAATGCAACTGTACCCATCAATTGGCTGCCGCTATTTTTGAGTCTGATGTTGCTAGCGTTACGGTGGGTATTCAGGTCTACGTGTTGGATGTCTCCCAAGACCGTTTGGATTGTCTTGACATCCAGATCATACCCGTTCCCACAGTGACGATAAATAGGTCAAAATGCCAGAGAAAGCCCAAGGCACCATGGACGCAGACGCAGAAAAGACAGTAGTGCGGAGAGAAATAAGAGATGGAGGGCTTTGTTTTGTGTGTTGTGCAGGTAGTGGCAATGTGGTGAGAGATTTTAAAGGTTATATATAGCTATCTGGACGGAAACCTTACGCAGAGGCGGTAGTTACTCTCCTGAAAGCAAGGAGGAGTTGAATAAGCGCCTAGTCAAAAGCCACTACCACTTCAGAGCCTAATAAAAAAAAGTGACGAGTGCACTCTTCTCTTCAAACCGTTCGCACTTTGCAGAGAATGGAATCTCGCTAGAGCTGATCCAAGATGCCCAGAAAGACGGCGAGTCACAGTCATCGGAGTTACACATTTCTTGGGTAGATAACAACGACAGAGGATTGTCAGAAAGATAAGGAGAGATGTCACGGGTGTTGAATGGGGAACAAAACCAAGGCATTTGTCACACTAACAAGTAAAGGTCTCTGGAGAACTTCGGGTAATACGCAAAATAATAATCGTACCCAAAGTCGTGGCGTTGGATAAGGCTCTCCGACGAAAAAGCTTGTAGATTGTATAAGTGGAAGCGGAAAAGGCCTTGATGAAATCACATAGGTATCGTTCGTACAGGATCAAAGGACTTTGTTCAGGATAGAGTGTAGAGCGTAGGAATCCTGAATGTTGACCAGACAAGCAAGGAAAGCTTAAGGCTGCCGAACTTGCCGAAGCAAGCGCAACTGAAACGCCAGACGGGCCGACGGAATACCCGCTCCGGATCTTCCCGGAAGCGCTTCATCTGTTACGACAAAGACGACTTCCCATCTGTAAAAGAAACACTCGAAGCATCCCGAGAGGCGAACATATACGAGCCAAGATACTGTGCCGTTCGTAAACTGGCTTCTCAGGACTTCCCATTGCCGCTATATTGGAATCGCGAGGCTTAGGACAGCGAAATGAGCGAGAGAAAAGTGAGTATATATCCGGTGCAAACGAGATGGTGTATACTATGTGAGTACAGTCTTTTTATATGACAATTCTAACTAAAAGTCGCGGGTATAAGCAACGAATACGTACAACTAATGAGAGAATAATAGCAAGACGTTAACAAGCGGCGACTGGAAAGACGAGCACTTCGGCAGTTAAATGATCAGCGCCGTTACTTGGTGACAATGTGAGCTCGAATATCAAACAGTTATTGTTTTCCTTCAGAAGTTTCAGTCATAAGATACTAAAATGATGACAGGAAAACGCTCGTTGATTCTCTTCTGCAAATACGAACAGGTTCTTGCAACATGGTAGACTGGCATCTTTCGGTGTCTGTTTTCTGGCGGAACGATTCGACTTGACGACGAACGTTCGTATGCCAGTTTGGTATCCGTAGATGCGTACCTTCCGTCAATTCCAAAGCATGCAGGTGGTGATTCTACTTTCCTCTATCATCAACGATGTCCTTTCATCTAACCGCCCTACAGAGACATTTGAGACCTCGATATACTACTCCGGGACTCGCATCTCCATGGGCATAATGTACGCTAATAAGCTGCTCTCGGTGTCTATGTTCTGCTCATGACTCCACCTCTAAGGATCCTGTGATGACGGAGCTCACGGCCTAAGTTACGAGTGCCTTGATTCAACTCAGCCTACACCTTACAGAGATACTAATCTGTGCTGTGTTCATCTACTAAATCTTCGAATCCTGCCACATGTCTGTCTGAGAAAGATAGATATCTGCCTTCTGCAATTCAGGTTGATTCATATCGAATAGTTCGAATCGCTACCGAAGCATTCCAGCGCCAATTGCAGTCCTAATATCATGGTGTGTTCATCCATCGATTCTTTTCCCAAGAGGATTTCAAACATTATCTATCATTCATGATGATGATCCTTCCATGGCCGGTTTCGGATCCAAACAGAGGCATAGATCTATGTGGCACCACTCATACGGAGCGTCTGCTGAAACTTTTCGCTCTTTCATTCCTATTCTGGTCGGAAAATTCCATCCATTGCTACAGGAAGTTGGGTTATGTTCACACTGCTACTTTTGAGACTGAATATCCGAGCAGCGAAAGGCCTTTGCATCACGTTGTAATTTTGTCTCTCTTTATCTGTGTGTTTCATGTTGTGATTTCCCAAGGTACAATTCATTTGCGACGTTGACGTGATAGCATGCTCATATTTATTTCTTCCCGACCTTTGGTCTCCATTGGTCGCAATAGCTGAAGGGACGGCAGGCGCTTAGTATAATTTTAAGCTCCGCGGATTACCATTTGCCGTCTAATTATTTAGATCCTCAGAGGCGCCCGGTAACAGACGGCACCCAAGGCGCTTAACACTTTCCCTGCTCTAATAAAGCCATCAGATATACGACAATCGGGTAAGAATATTCTCCCTATAGACCTCATCGTGCGATGTGGCGCTTATTGTACGGATGTCACGAGGATGTGGTCGGAACTCATCCCGCATGTTACTTAAGGGTCTCGAGTTTAAGCGCCTTCCACTGCCTCGCCTTTCTTACCTTTCACCAAACTTGGGTTTGACCCCACCAGTCTGACGAGGAGCGTGTTCTATTGCAGTTGCTATTATCCTTTAGGTATAAGTATTATCTTTACACATTGCAAAAGACCTCTGTTTCTTAGCGCCTTGATTTGCTAGCGACGACACATATAGGGTTAACACCATAGTCCTTTCTCCGTCGATCTGTTATCCAGCCTGACATTTGTCTCAGCCAACTGTAAGTTCTTTGGTCCCTGCATTGTTTATCTAACACTCAATTCAATTGAACTTAGATAAACCGGTGATACGAACAAAGGTTCTCTCATAATGACTGCAAGCACTCCCGCCTCACGTACCATCATACAAAACATCATTGACAACTTTCGATTTGACTGCATCACCCTCAAATCTTGTTCCCTCGTCTCGCATGCTTTCTCCATATGCACCCGTCCCCATCTATTTCACGTCATACGCGGAATTTCAGTCAAAATCGACTCATGCCCTCTAGACGCCTTGATCTCGATATCCCCGCATGTACGGTCGGTTCGGTTATCAAACGACGACTTGTTTAACGCCACCATGCCCTTTATCATTTCATCGTTTGATCGTCTGGAACACATCTCCATTCTGGGCTACGTGGAATGGTCAATGCTCCCGGAAGTTATGATTAGCGCCTTGACGTACCAACGATCGTTGGTTGCATCTCTGGAAATGAATGCGGTCAGGTTCACGGATGTTCGTATGTTGAATCAGTTTCTCAGACCCTTCCTGGGACTCCGAAGGCTGTGTCTGTCAAAACTCCGGTTTGATGCGAACACGTACTCCGCCGTCAAGATGGACTCATCGGCTGCGAAACCTCGACCCAAGGAGCTATCACTGCATGGAGGGTCTTTGCTCCGCGCCTTCGTCAATCCTGTTTCTCCGATCTCCTTGGATCGATTGAGAAAATTGAACATCACTGTGCTCTTTGTAGAGGATTTCATGAGCTTGGCGTTGGTCATAGATTTGGCACCTAATCTTCGGATATTGCATCTAGGTGGCATGCAGAAAGGTAAGTCATGTATTTTATTGTTAGCGCTTTCGTGGCTAACTTCCAGAAGATTCTCGGTGGTGCAGGCCGAGACCTCTTGATCTCTCGGGTATCGAGGTCGTCTCGTTCAATCTGCACGATGCCGATGAGACATTGGATCAATATCTCTCTCCAAGTCTGATCCTTTCATGGTGGATCGAAAGTTTCAAAAGCGGAGTTGCATTACGATCGATTACTGTGACCATGCAAGTTCATAGTACCACCAACACACTATTTAACGCACACCTGTGGGAGTGGTTTGACGTTACTTTGGGGATGCTGAAGACTATCAAGGAGGTGCGCACAATAATTCGAGGAGAGAAGGGGCACGGGTTGAAAACGGTGATTGCGAATAAATGTAAGCACTTGAACGCGAGAGGGTTGATGGAGATTAGTGTGAATGCACCGCAGAGAAAGAGAAGGACAATTGAGTAGGTGGTACTATACTGATTTTCTCTAACAATGGCTCCAACTTTTGATAAATATGTTCTCGGGCTTCTGGATGAGAGGCTCCGTATGTTGGCTCTATAAGTTCCGCCTACGCGTTCCTACTTTAGGATACAGATCAGAAGTCTAAATTTGACGTCCCCTCTAGTTCAAGTGATTTCTGATACATAATGCCCCTGGTGAGCAAGGCTAGCAAGGAGTTATCCGTACTCCTGGTAGGCGCTAAAGAACGAGATAGATAGCGGAAACCGGGCCGTGTCTGATCATTGTGCAATGGGCTCTGGTATTATATCCCGCTTCATCAACTGAGTTCGGAAACGCCTTGCTGTGATTGTGCCTGCGAAGGTCACATTTTGACCCTGATCTCATTAATGATAGCGAGCGCTTAATTAATGCTCCCACGGGTGAAGATGGATGAAGAATGGCAACGACCTAAAATATAGTAAACATCTTTGGTGAGGCGTTTCCCTTTCGCATCGCAGCACATGTAGTACCATATAAGATCATAACCTTGAGGAAAGAGTTCCCCTGGCCCACGAACAAGGCTCGTTCGGAGTGTAAAAGTCAGAAAGACCGTGGGGTCGTCTTCTCGCCGCACGTGCAGAATGGTGGTGAGACCATTCACCCTGTAAGAATTCCATGTCCTAGCGCTCGATGTCGCAGAGAAGCGCCATATTCATGTGACAACTGACCTTGTGGGGACTAATAGCTGCTGAAAATACCCCTTCTATAGGCGCCCAAACGTGAGGTGCTTCACCAAGGGATTACGATAAAGTCAACATCCTGAGGTCATGTCTAGAATCTGATATAGACGACTGTACCATTCTTGACCCCTAAAAATCGACGCTTACTGGTGGTTCCATATAGTTCTCCGCCGGAGTGTTACTGATAACCCACTTGTTCAGGTCAAGGCCCTTGATCCTTATTCCTTAAGAGAATAACAACCGAACTTGTCATGGAGATAAGTAAAAGTCGGCAACTATGATGTCTTTAAACCACTCACATGGCTCTCCTTGGTTGATAGCGGCGGGGATACCAATTGCGCTAGGTAATGTGACTGTTATGGATATTGGGTATCCGTTGATTCGGTGCATGAGTCAACATATGCCCGTACTCGGCCTTCTCGGTCTTAATACTGACTCACTCGTACTTTCTGTTACTTTCTCTATTCTTCGTATTGATACTAGAATATTATGGAACATTGTAGAATAATAATGACTCGAACCTTTCCTTAGTATATAATCTCGTAGGTAACATTGTATTAGAAAGCTTTGACCAATCTACCACTTTCAGGACACCTTCACTGCGTGAACCATCAGCTATGCTTAGCGCTTGCTGAACAACTCGTTGGATACGCCTAGCGCTTTCTGACACCAACCCGAAGGTTACGCCTAGCGCTTGCCTTCACCCACGGCCCGTAATAGCTTCGCGCTTACAGGCTTTCTATATCGGTAATTGCTCCGTGCTTACCGGCTCTTTCCCTCAGTAATTGCTTCGCGCTTACTGATTTCCTTTATTTCGCAAACCGGACCACTCAGGTCTCCTCACGAACCCTCGCCGGAATCCATTATATTCCCTAACGACGTACATCATTTCTAATTACTCTCACCTCACTTCGATCACCACTCCTCGCCTCGTGCTCGCATCTCCAGATCCATAACAGTGACAGCATATTATGTGAACCTTGTCCCACCGGAATCTCATGGTGGCGACGGAGTTTTCTACAGGGCGGGCTCGAACTCTAATCGGTGTTCAATGTGTTGATATTGGACCTGACCGGCTTCACGAAGTGGCGAGGAACTACAAGTAAGTAGTGCCGCGGTGTACGCCGTACTAGAACAAGCGAGGTATACTTTAGCCTTCTTCTGTAGCGCTGTAGAAGAAGGCTGGAAGCCGGAATAGACGCCTGCAGCTGAGCTCCATCATTTCCATTTTCGAGATGAAAAGATGCCAATGTTGCCAGAACAAATGGCCGTAGAGGGAGCACATGCTGCACTTCGGGAGCACTCGAAATAGTATGCTGAAACAATTTCAAACAAGCAGTAATGACTAAACAGTCGGATGCTGAGAGCGAGGATATTTTTGTGAACACCGCGTCTTACCTTGTCCCGTAATCAAATGTCAGTGCGGAGGCCTATGTCGCAAGTCCAACTCTTGACATCGTGGCCAAGAAGCCCGCAAATTTCTTGAAAGACGCCGGATGACCGGGCCGAAGATCGGCAGTGGCAAACAACGGCTACTTTGTTCTCGCCCTCGACGTTCACTCAGTCACAAAACCAGCATCGTTGCTTATACTGTATGTGAGTGTACAGAGGAAACGGTAACGCATAACGCCGAGGGTGTTTCGTTGCTTAATTTGCCCTGTGTAACGCGTAACGATGGCCTGGTTTCCTAATTTTTTCCGTTACATTAAATAAAAATAAATAATAAATTGACTTAAATTCTCTAAAAAGTTCTACTAGGTCCTATGAGTGTCTTCTAAGTGTCCTACTTGTACAAGGGAAGAAAATAAGACAAGGGAAGTGCACTTCACAACCCATCTTGAAAAATTGTGTTGCCTGTTTAGGCAACGGTAATGCGTAACCCCAGCATCGTTTCCAAGTTTCTTTGGAAACCAAGTGTAATGCTCAAATCAGCGTTTCCTCTGTACACTCACATACAGTAGGCTGAAACTTCTCCGTGCACATTTGTACGCGATTCTTGTGCCTCGGCACCTCCCCTTGAGCTTTATTCCACCAACCGAGCGCCACTCGAGGTCAACCATCAAATTTCCCCGAGTCGCTCCTTGTCTAGAATCAATGTCTTCGCTTAAAGTAAGAGAGGTTCCTATTTCTTTCTGACGTATCCTCATCAAGCGATTGCCAGGTATCCCACATCGCTTTATGCACACAGTGCAGTTATTCTGTCTTGTCCTCTTTCAACGACAACTTTAGCCTGCTGCACAAGGCGCTCGACGAGATGACCCCTACATTGTCCATGCTCCTAGGGACGAATGATTGTCCTAGTTCGCATCAGTATGGAGCTCTGCTCACCTCAAAAGGCAAGGTTGAGGATGCCTTGCACGAAATCGATATGATCATGACACATCTCGAACACGGACGCCGTCAACTTCAGGACATTCATCAAAGTCATCGCAGCGTCATGTCCCCTATTCGCCGCCTTCCTGTTGAGATTCTTGCAAGAATCTTCGCGTTATCCACCTGCTCATTCTACGATGTATTTGATCCTCACCTCAAGGATGGGCCATGGACCTTATCCAAAGTTTGTTCCGGATGGCGTGTGGTGGCAACGAGATGCTGTCCGAAGATGTGGAAGAACATGAACATCGCATGCAAGGTCGCTCCAAGAGATCCCGAAGCATTGCTGCGCTTGGTGTTCTCGCAATGTCGAGATGATCCTCTCCACATCCGAATTGGCGAGATAGGCGAAGCCCTTATCGCTCTTCTTCCTATTATCATGGAAGAATCGCGTCGCTGGAGGACCTTCGAAGTTTCCTATCCAAACCCTAAGCTGGTGGATGTACTTCAGACCGTACAAGGGAAACTAGACATCCTCGAATCTCTGAGACTCCATATGCCTAATGACGCTGGTCAAACGCTCACTAGGACGTTTGAAGTTGCCCCCAAACTGACGAGGGTCGAGTTGATGAATCGGAAGGGGGAAATGCAGATTTCGTTGCCTTTCTCGCAGCTCCTGACCTACATCGATGACAGTTATCCTCGAGTAGCGGGAATGAGTTCCGCTGAGTACTTCCTGAACATTCTTAAAAAGTCTCCTCGTCTCTTCAAATTCCATGCCGGGCGTTATTTATGGTTCCTTGGACAACATACTATCGTCCACCCAGCTGTTGTTCCTCCCATTGTTCACGAATCGCTAGAAGAACTGTCGTCGTATGATCCTGCATTACTTCGGAGTGTTTTGCTACCCAAACTGAAGGTATTGAAGATGGAGACTCCAGACGGGAAATATTCGTTAAGGACACCGCTACTTGCACTATGCGAGCTCATTATCAATTCCAACTGCTCTCTAACCAGTCTGACACTGAGAAATGTTGCACTTGGGGGTTGGAAGGATGTTCTGGTGTTAACTCCATGTCTGACGACGCTGGAAGTGGTTATGCGGCATGCCTTTGGTGCATATACTGCAGGCTTTTTGTCTGGTTTGGTCGGAGGGTTGGCCGAGAGGGGAAAGGACCCAGAAGATTCTTCGCAATATGTTATCGTCCCGCTTCTCAACAACCTGACGATCGAGGTTGCCGATACATCCGGTGACTCGATAATCTACTATGGCTTTTTCAATCGCGACTTTGTGGACATGGTCGCATCGAGGTATCATTCAGCGGCCTTGCAGCACATCCGGGTTGTCGCACAAAGCAATGGTCCTAACGAAGGCATCGACTTTTGGAGGTTTGGATCTGACGAGTTCAGGTGGATGGAGAAGCTACGGAGTGATGGACTCAAGATATCTGTCTTCGAAGAAATTGGGCAGGGTAGGGAGCCGATAAAGCATTTGGTAACCGAAGAATGAAGTGTAGGGAGAGATTGGTGATAAGATGTGGGATCATATTCAGTGTACTTAGCAAGAGTAAAACCCATCAAACTTAATTTGTTCCACTGGAATGGAACCCATCCCCTGCAACGCGAAATTGACAGCTGACTACACGTAATTAACTCGCCGTTTTCAGTCGGGGAGAGTCATGATGACGTCACGCGTCGACGAGTTCATGACGTAGCTTTCCCATCAATAAGGCGCGCCGACGTGTCGATTCCGCCATTTGCGCACGAACCACCCGACGCGTATAAAAGGGCGTCATTCTCTGATCATCCCCCGAAACGCCTCTTTCATTTCTTCCCCCATCATCACTTTCTCTCTCATGCGATCCCATCTACGCGCCCATCAAGTGTCGGAGCAGCCATCCTGACTGAGCTAAGGCTGTACAGTGGGTGCCTTGCATAGAGAACTTCTTGGTCCTATTAGTGCCGACGTGCCTGCCCACCATCATTTACGCTGATGAGGGCCCGGACCACTTGACGCATATAAGAGCGCGACATTCTGTGACCGACTTCCAAAACTTTCTTTCCTTCCACTCCCACCCTTCCCCAGACTTGGTTTCCTCTCGCGTCATCATTTTCTCTCACGCGACTCGATAATCTTCCTCTCCGCCTGCCAGCACGTCCTAACTTATGCGGACATGAACTTGTTTACTAAGCCGGTGCACTAATGCAATTGACTGTGGATGCGCCCGTCACATTACCGTGCCAATACCAGATCGTATACTTGCCGACGATTACTCTAAAATGATGGAAGAATGAATCTTCGTCTATATCACAGCGGTGATTTTCAGCCTCGCCAGTATCCCGTTGGCACAAAGGGCATTCCTACGACCTTTGCCTGCCTTCTTTTGCCTCTCACCTCGACCTCGACCTCGGCGCCCTTCTTATGTTTCCCGCCTTCAACACTAACATACCCCATCGCGATATTCTTACCCAGCGTGGGCGACGGAATCCCAGAAGTAACCTCCCCAAGAAGGGTGTCCGAACCAGGAGCATATATCTTCGCGCCTTGTCTCGCGGGTGCACCCTCTACCACCAACCCGACGCGTCGACGCGTCGGCGTCTTCAGAGCACCCTCAAAACCGATGAACCCTCCAGCAGCTTTCCGCTCCTTCCCAACGACCCATCCCAGACCAGCTTCCAATGGTGTAGTCTCCTCATCCAAATCCTGGCCGTACAGACACATACCGGCTTCCAACCTCAGCGAGTCTCGGGCGCCTAGTCCTGTCAGTTGGACAGGGTCGCGAGTGAGTAAGTCTCTGACGACTTCCTCTGTGCTTTGAGGTGGGATGGAGATTTCGAATCCGTCTTCGCCAGTGTATCCGCCGCGGGCAATGTGCAGGGTGTACCCTCCGTCGATGGGAATCCATGCCGATTTGCCGAATGTCAGGGTACGGAGGTCGAAGGAAGTGAGAGATTGGAGGTATGCGGCCGCGAGAGGACCTATGACAGGTATGAGCTAGAATAGCGGAAAGAAGCAGAAAAACATACCCTGCAAAGCTACCATTCCCCATCCATCCAATATCTCCATCTCCACCGGCCCATCCTTCTTCGCTCTCTCCCCATTGTTCCATTCATCTATCTTTTCCGAAAACCAGCCCAAATCGCGTTCTCTCCTCCCGGCATTGGTGACCACATAGAAAGCGTCCTCCGCGTGTTTGGTTATTATCGTGTCGTCGATGATTCCTCCGTTCTGGTTGAGCAGAACAGAGAGTGTTGAGGAGTATGGCGATAGTGCGCTTAGTGCTGAAGGTGTCAGCCATTCGAGGAATGGCTGAGCAGTGGGACCGCGGAAGTTGGATTGGACCATGTGGCCGACGTCAAACAGGCCGACGCTTTTACGGACATGGTTATGGCTGGCGACTACCGGAACAGGCGGGTTAGATTGACTAACGTTTCCAGTTGACATGGTAAACTCACCCTGCCCTACATCTCCATACGAAAGCGGCATCGAGTATCCCGCGAATGGGACCATTTTCCCGCCATTTTGGACGTGAAAGTCGTACAAAGGCGTTTTTCGTAGCTGGGTAGGGATGAACTGGGTGAGCTTTGATAGTGATAATTTTAACGCACTGGCTCGGTGGCAGACGTCGCGAATCGACGAACGAGCGAGCGGAGAAACATGGAGGAAAAGGAAAAGGGGAATTTGCAAATTGAATGCCAAAGTGGGAAGTTTTATTGTGGCTGTGCGTTATCTGCGCTTATAACATTCCGGATTCCGAACCCACACCCACAGCAGCCTCTTAAGACTTGCACGTCACTGAAATAACTGTAGGATTGTTTTATCATTTTTTCTTCAGTCAGAACTTGATGATTCCAGATTGGCCATCATCAACTACGCCACTCTGTGAATCTAAGATGACTTTTCTCCACCAAACGCTATTGTACACAACATATTATTAAACCATCACATCCAAAACTCATGGTCGTCTGCAGCCTAATCTTCCTTCAACATACTTTTCTGAACTCTGTCAGTTTTCTCCGGTCGAACGGCCCGATTGCCGCAGTGGCTATACGCCTTATTTGCAGCTGCTATTATCGACGATCAGTGTTCCCCTTTGGTCACTCACCTCCTTCGCAACACAACCACCATCATGTCCCGATTCGTCCGAGCCTCAAAATACCGGTGCGCTATCTTTCATATAATCGAATATTGGTAACATCTTTGCAGCCACGTCTTTGAACAATCAGGAAAAAAGGACCAAGGCTTCGAAAATGTCAAAGTGACCGGTAGCGCCTGGGATACCAACGTTATCTCTGCATCTGCGGAGTACATCTCAATCAACTGGAATGCCTCTGGAGGAGGAGCATTTGCTATCCTCCCTCTTCCATCCCCTTTCGTTGCCCACCCTTCTATCCCGTACAAACTCCCCGACTCGCTCCCCCTCGCCCGCTCCCACACGGCCCCCGTCCTAGACACCGAATGGTCCCCCCACGACGACTCCCTCGTGGCCTCTGCAGGCGAAGACGGAAAAGTCATGATATGGAAAGTCTCCCCCGACGTGTTCGAAGGCTGGGGCGCCGAGGGATGGGTACCGAAAGACTTTGATCCCGTATGGAGGATCGATGCCAGTCCCCGCAAAGTAGGCCAGGTCCTCTTCCATCCCACTGCGGAGAACGTGCTCGCGAGCGCGTCGGGTGAGCACCTCGTCAAGCTGTGGGACCTCGCGAGGACAGAGGATCCGCAGCTCGTTCTGTCCGGGCACACGGATACCATCCAGAGCATCGCGTTCAGCCCCACGGGAACCCTACTGGCGACGACGTGCAGGGACCGAAAGCTGAGATTGTTCGACTCTCGGGCGGGCGGTGACGCGATCCACGTCGTAGACGGCCACGGCGGCATCAAGTGCGCCAGAGTTACGTGGATGGGAGATCTAGGCAAGGTGGCTACGACCGGGTTCAGCAAAATGAGTGAGAGGCAGGTCGGTATATGGGATGTTGGCCAGGGTCTTGCGAACGAGACAACGACGGCTCTAGACCAAAGCGCCGGTATCGTTATGCCATTTTGGTCTGATAACAATATCCTGTTCCTTGGTGAGCAACTCTCTCTATTTATTTCCATTCCTCTTCTCATGTCTCCGCAGCTGGTAAAGGAGACGGTAACATCCGTTACTACGAATACGAATCCTCCTCCCTATACGCCCTATCCGAATACAAAACTTCCAACCCCCAGCGAGGCATGTGTTTCCTCCCCCGACGAGCCCTCAACATCAGCGAATGTGAAATCGCACGAGCTTACAAAGTCCACGGATCCTCGATCGAGCCCATCGCGTTCATCGTCCCCCGCAAAGCTGACTCCTTCCAATCCGATATCTACCCCCCAGCCCCAGCCAAAGAACCATCATTGACTGCGGGCGAATACTTTTCCGGGCGAGGGGAGGTGAAAAGGAAGTTAGTCAGCCTGGATTCGGGCAAGACGGTGACGAGTTCGGGAGGCGCGGGTTCGATCCCGACGAAGACGACTTCTGCGCCCATCCCTGCACCGGCATCGATTGCCTCGTCCTTTTCTCAGCCTGCTTCCGCGTCTACTCCGACAGCCCCACCGATGTCGGTGTCGAAGTCGTATTCTCAACCGGAGTCGACCCCAGTGAGGAAAGAGACGACACCGCCTCCTTTAGTAAGGAAAGATTCTGCATCGCCTGCTGCCAAATCTGCATCGCCTGTAGAGGACGTGAGTCATTCTATTGCTCGTCTTTTGTTCCGCAACTGATCTTCTCCACACACAGCCCGAAAATTCCCAGCTCAAAGCTGAGCTCCGTGAGGCGAGGGAGAAGATTCGCAATCTAGAGTTGCAGTTGGAAGCTACGAAAGCGAACGCGAAGAAGGCAGCGGAGGCGTTGTTGAATGTGTAATGGCTTTCGAGTACTTGTAGACACGGTGGATTTTGATATTTATTCTGGTTGACTAATTGAAAAGGTTTAATGATGTAGGAGCAAGGTTTCAGGGATGTACGTTGGAATCGCGGATGGGTATGTAATAGTGATAGGGGGGCTTGCATCTCTCGAATTCCAGCCTACATTTTCCGAGGTTTGATGATGAGAATCAGAACAAGAGGAAGCCTTTACCGCACTACAGGAAACATACTTAGGATTTGGTCCAACTCAGTTTCGAAACGGTTACATTGTTACTAGTATACTAAGCTGCTGGGGAAGGGACGAGTGCAAAACCGTAAGTTACTCCCTCTAAGAGTCTAACACTTGCTGCATAGGGTTGCGCACAAAACTCGGGGTGTCGGACCGCTAAATTACCAGTAGTTACTGGTAACTTACCTCCACTTGCCTCCCGGGTTGGCAATAAACTGTAACTTATCCCCTGTAGGTTTCGTGCGCAACCCTATCTGCCATACGCAACCCTAAGTTATTGGGGAAGAAAAAAATAGCTATAATCCAACGAGTGGCCAACGTGGGGATCGAACCCAAGACCTTCGCGTTAATACTTAAGGCCCAGCTTGTATTAGCACGACGCTCTAACCAACTGAGCTAGTCGGCCAACAGATAGCATAGGTCTACACATAATGCCATGACATACTGTACTATTTCATTCAATTCGTCAGTCACAGGTCACACAGCCAAAAAAACTCCTCACCAAAAATCACCATAAATCGAAATAAAATTTTTGAGCCTCCCGAGTTCAAAAAATGTGACGAATTGAATGGAATAGTACAGTAATGCATTCAAGATCAAGTACAATTCATATTCATCTAAGCGCGGACAACTTGACAGAGTCATGTCCAAGATAACACATATCATCTGGACCATCTTGCCCATTACTACGGAAGCAGGTACGAAACACCACTAAAGCCAAGACTCAAGATGTTCATAGCTCACAAGTCGCTCACCGTCAGCCTGCGCCTTGTTGGGAGGATTTCAGTGAAGTCCCCTTCCTGTCAGCTCACACCATTCTTACTTCCAACCCCATATTTTGTCTTCGATGCCGTCCATCACACTCTATGCCAACTCTCAGTCACGAGGTGCTTTACTGAGGAAAAAATGGTTATCAATCAGTCCGCGCCCTCATCGTCTATACGATTATCTGTTAATATATTACTCATATCGAAACTTAATACACTACTAAAGAATAAACTAACACTCCGTCCTCGGACTAAAATCGAATTTCATCTTCCCCTTAGAATTGTAGATCCCATACCCAGGTTCTTGGTTGTCCGAATAGATGTGAGCAAACCAGCCTACGCCGCCCCCAGCTACGGTCTTGAAGAACTCGCATTTGGAGTCGAGTAGCACATAGTAATCCTACACATGAGGTTAGAAATGGTACGAGAGATAGGTACGGCAGAAGTACGTGTTCATTGGGTATGTCAGATACTGCATAGGGGCTGTTGGGCTGCACGCCTTCGGAAGTGACAGATGGCCATCCGTTCTTTGGCGACGCGTCAATGAAATTTGGACGATTATGGATGGGATAGACAAACCTCGCTCAGGTATATCTTCTTTCCTTCACCATTGTCAATGAACCTAGGAAGGGAGATGAATATAAATCGACGAGGGCAAAGAAGAATGCCTTTACCAGTCCAAGTCAGTGAGAACGATAGGCCACGAGTTGTTGGCTAGTCACCACAATTAGTCAAGCATTTTAGAAATACTGAATAACGAACCTGTCGAAGCCTGCTGTGAGAAGAACGGAAGCATATGTGCGTCGATGAGGTCTATGGCGTCCAAAACAGACTGCGCGCCCCCGCGTTCCTAGACGAAATGTTGTCATTCAACGAACAAAACAGCCATTAAACTATTTCTTACCTGGTACCCATACGCCATATCCGAAACCGTTACTGGAATTCCTAGACTCGACAGATTGGCTTTGGCTTCCCAGACCTGCTCTGCCAGAGCGTCTGGATCAGCGTCCAGTACTCCGTCGTAGAGAGGCTCAGATCCGAATTGGACAACGCGAGTGATAAAGGGCGCTTTGGGGTTGGCATGTAGGGCAGCGAAAAGCGTGTCGCGTCGAGAGATCCAGATATCGGAACCATCGAATCCGAACTGGGAAGAACGTATGAGAGAGGGACTCGGAGGATGAGAACATGGGATACCCAAACAAGAGCGTGAACGCCAAGGTTGGCTTCCCATGCTGCTGTGATAATGTCGTCGCTATGTGTGATCTTAAGTACAAGAGATAAAGAAAGACGCGTGGAAGTGCATACTAGAAGCCCTCTCGATCGCACGCTCCGTACATGCGAACGTACCGACTATTGAATCGCTCGCGTATGTCCTTAAATTCACGTCGGAGTTGCTGAAGACTCTGACCTAGATGAACGATGAGAAGAGGGCGCGAGGGTCGAGGATAAAATCATACATGCGGTGACCTCGTAGCTGAACCCTACGAACGCGTACTCTGATTCGTACGGGCACCACCAGTCATCTGTCGAATCAGGCGTGTCATCTGGCATCTCAAATCCGAGAGCAGGAAAACACGACTGTCCGCGTCCACTCGGTGAATGAACAGGGCTGGCAAGCACTGCAGCGACGAGAGATAGCACAAGAGCGAGTAGTGGAACCATTGCTGGTCGTCCTTTTCTCCCTCGGCATTTTTATAGCGTTTCTGGATCATTTCAGGAGCACTGAAATCAGAACGAAGGAAGTAAGGATCGGGAGACGCGCAAGTAATAGACGCCATAGAGATTCCTTATGGGTGGCTGCGATACCGTGGTGTGCACGTATGGTTAAGGAAAGCCTGTAAACAGACTTGCACGTGAAGAACTGTTGCATGAGGGACATGTCATATGACATGACTTTGAAAGAGACAGCAGTTGGCAAGGCAGAGAACGACTGACAGCTGACTTTGCCCTAAGTAGACAGACCTCAAGAAAGCCAGCAGAGAGAAAGTGCTTGGCACTCGAGTACTGGGCATTTTGACGATAATAGACGGCGTAAAGGTAATGCAGCGATGATCAGGGTTGATCCCGATGTCGCATCGTGCACATGATCAGTCATCGGTGAGATGAAGATGCTGATTTGTTCAATTAAAGTCAAAAATAAACGTCAGAATGGGGAAGATACGGTTTTAAGGAGATATCATATCCGCTCGCCTCAACTCGCTCGGAGAAAAATAGAAGGTTGAGACCTGGAGAGGGGTAGTAAACTAGCTGAAGGAAACTAGAGACGATGTCTGTGGCATGCAGTAGACAATCAAATGGCTTCGAGCAGACGAGTGCAGAGGCAGCGGTCTTAATTTAGCAGGAGAGAACCAGTAAAGCGCCAAGTGAACGCGCTATTCAGTCGAATGAGGCTGTCTGAGGCGAGGTCTCCTGCATTCTTCGCACCAATGTGCAATTGCCAAGTGTCAGGCTTATGAAGGAAATAGCCCTCCAAGAGTCGTCTCTTTGACGTCGGAAGAAGGATAATCACTTGGAATGAGGAGTATCGGCATGTGGGGATCACAAAATTCGTGTAGGACTTGACGGCATAATCCACATGGTGATATCGCGGAAAATAGATTTCTGATAAGGCCGTCAATTCAGTCATGAGAATGTGTTTAGAAGTTATTACGATGTGATGGCGAGCGCTCGGAAATTTGTGATTCCGTCACTCTTCGAGGATCAGTGAGTCGAGGTCACGGTTAAATTTACGTTGAACTGACAACGGCCTTGACAATAGCTACGCGTTCTGCGCAGATCGTATCAACTGAGAGTTCCGTAAGTTTCTGGCTCTCTGTGAGTACCAGTGAGGCGGATACACTCACCGTAACTCACATTATCAACACTACATCCCTGTACGATAGCACCGTCCTGCGCTAGTAGAGCGGCGCCCACAGGGAAGTGAGAATAACGACTATATGCTTTGTCCTTTGCTGAAAATCACTACTTAGAAATGGAGAGCATCAGAAGCGGTTGCAGATACCTTCGAACGCTGCTCGTATCAAATTGTCTCGCTCGGCTGAAGAGAGCGACATTGTAAGGAAGGAGCAAGGTTGCCACGTAGCACCAGTCATCGAAGACAAAATCAAAACTGCGAAGATGACCATCAAAACGTAACAAGGGCTGTTAACAGCTTGGTGGCCTTTAATTATACAATCCCCTCGCCTTTTACTAGGGGATTCCGTGTGGGCCACCATGAAGAGCTGGTAAATAATCTTTGGGCTTCTGTTCTCTTCTGAGAATTCAATTATTATTTTTTTCTGACCCGCTTATATGTTTCTTTCGGGCATCGGTTTTCGTAATATAGCAAAGTAAAAGATAAATGCGAATGGAGATAAACTGAAGTGATAGAAGATTCAGTCAGATAGAAGGACTAGGACCGGATTTCAGAAGTCCGAAACTTACTCCCTTCCTTCCACAAACATTAATATCACGAAGCACCAAACTGAAAGCCACAAGCCGCAAAAATTCCATCTGTTGCCCCCTTCGGACATCATGGTACATTTACTACTTTTCTCAGAAGAAAAGAGGTGTCGTTGTGTTGAGTAGGTCCTTTTGAGTTCTTTATGTGTTTCGTATAAGCCTCAGAGTCAACCTGCATGTAGAACCTTTTCATGGTAATAATTCATGGCCAACATGTCCCATCATAGATGGTACGGGCCTCGTTCCTGTAATCAGGATTCGAGGGGAAGAAGATTTTGGAACACCAGACCAAATATCAAGCACTGAGTAGTAGAATAATTCTGGTAGGGCCTGCTCCAGGGCAACGCCTGCTACTTCAGGTGGAAAACAAGTCTTGAATTGAATCGCTCGCATGTATTCAGAATATCTAAATAATGTGATGACTACCAGTGCAAGTAATAAGATGACTATTACTACTACTGTGTGAACAATATCATACATACGTCATACCGACTGATTTTGGACTTGGTATATTTCATGGTGGTCGCTCTCGCACATGCGATTAATTGAGAATAACAAGCGTCCAGATAGTGCGAATGAAAGTATGACTATACAAGTAGAAGTGTACTCAGTCAGGAATATAATATACTGTTTGGCGTTGTGGATGGGCATGTGAGGGAGATGCCATGATTGCGCACTCACTGAATCCAGCTACGCGCTGTTCCAATGGATGAACCTAGGAAATCGGCACTCAGAAGTGTATACAGGAGTACTATGGACGAAGAACTTGCGCGGTCAGGGTAAGAATGAGCCAGCTTGGCGTGCGGATGTACTTAAGAGTGTTAAGAGTTTTTGAACAGGAAAATGGTGCAGAGCCGGAATCGTCTGTCGTTGCATTGCAAGGTGCATGGTTTTCATGATCGATGGAGGCCATTAATGGGGAGTTTGTAGCCAAAGCATCGGACGTTGGAATGCGAATGCAAGGCTCCATTGTAACCTCTGCAAACGACGAGGCTCAACAACTTCGAAATGGGGAAGTGGACATCGAGCGATGGCTGAACCTCATTTCTGGAGATGACAGGGAGGCCATTTTTCCACACGGGGAAAATTGATCGTGAAGGCAAGCTATTTATGGTCATAGAAAGGTTGCAGGTGATGAACCATCGGTGGATGGAGGGGGCACAGGAGACTTGATGATGTTGTTATCTGAGGACGTCGTGTCAGCATTATTCCGGTGATATGCCTGGTATCAGGCTACCCGTAGATTTTGTGATTTTACATCCGTTTATGCAATCTACAAGTGGTACAGAGAGCTACAGTGGAGGCTTCGTGCTGGTAGCTAAATACTACATAAAGAATGAAAGCACGGCAGTACAGAACGGACTTAGAAACGACGTCTCGAAGAGTCAATTCTACCAGCCGTCAACACGCCAAGCTAAGCCCCACCTAAACAAGACTATTACAGTCAAATCTCAGGGACTCGTCTGTATGGAGTATAAAAACCAAGAAGTTGAAGAATGGAATGAACTAGATGCCTCGTCACCTCGACGAGTAGAAAGAACCTGTCAAGAAAAATTGCTAAGTCGAGAAACAGATCAGCTTTCGAGATCAACTCAGGCTAGGAAAGGCATAACCTTGGAAGAATGAATAGCCACATTGGGTACCGAGATGACCGACCTTGATCACGCAGTGATCAACAGAATATAATCTCGGACCTGCAGTCGATCGCGATCGGTGGTTACATCCTCGAGATCCTGCACACACCGCAGTATTCCATACATACGGCGCATGGCAAGCCTTGCAGATGGAAGAAGGAGCACCCACGGACTAGTAGGGCACTCCTCGGCGACAGAATAACCTGGCGCAGTCGCATCGAACTGAATAGAAACTACAGAATCGCACGATACTTGTAGGATAGTGACTCACCGTTTGTATTAATTCCAAAGCTCGTACCATAATGACTGTAGATACGGGCTCCTATACCTAGAACACAAATCGTATAAATTAGCAGCGACTAGACGCATAACAGCAGGAAAGCATTCCCCCCACGTTTGTGCTAGTAGCCTGTATAGCTACCTAATCAATCACTGGTTTTATTGCATATCCTCGACTGAAGTAAATTAAGTTACCAAAGTCAACCCATAAGGGCGACTACAGTAATCTAGAAGAGTTAAGTAGGAAGTAGAGCCGTCCCCACGTTTGCGCCTTGCTAGTTAATTGAACTGCTCCATGGACAAAGGCCTCGTGTTCTCTCTCTCCGAGATTAGCGATCTAGACATGCTGAGTCGACTTTAAGTCAAAAGACCTCATCTAGTTGAAGTAAAATAAGCCCTAGAATGCTTTAAGTTCGAACAATCGTCGAGTTCAAGGAACTCCAGAGTCTGTGTACTCTTTGCAAGTCTTGTACTTGAAGTCAGAACCTGAGTGTTCTTTGTAGAGTGATTTTGCACTCTTTGTAGACCTCGGAGTCTTTGGTTGTTTGATTATTTGAAGTGTCCGCTAGAAGCTCTTCTAGACAACGTCGAAACGAGCATAACTTGCTCGACTATACCTTACAAAACAAGTTCATATAACCCCGCTATCGCGGACTAGTGTACTTTGTGTAAAACACATCGAAAGAAGAATTGAAGTTGTTTTCAGACAAAACCCCACTAGATTATCTAAATCTAAGTACATCGCGAGTGCTTCTATCGTACTCACCCTCAAACTTATATACATTGGTGATTGTGTGTGTGTGTGTGTGATTTAGTATCTAGATTGATGATCTAGACGCTTGTTTCATTTGCGTGCTGCCTGTTACCAAGCACATCACTGGGACCAAGAATGGCCATCACTGAGGCAGGCCATATATGTCCCTAGAGAAAGCGGCGGTGGTGATATCCACGAAAACCGGGTGCGCCGAGTGGTAACGGAACGTGAACAAGAGCAAATGGTTTCACGACGGAAGGCAGTTTACGTCGGTCATCTTGAAGAGCCTTGCCAAGCCTTGCGAGAGTATCAGGAGGATAGGGAATTGGTTTGGATTGAAGGGGAAGTAGGTGTCTCGAGGGATGGTAGCAGAGTACATGTAGGACCCTACGGAATGGATGAAGAGGTCGAATTGGATGGGGGCATCTATTGCAATGGTTAGTCTTCTCAACTGTTCACTGTACTGTCAATGAACCGCTGGGAGCAGAATACGACCCATCAGCAGTCTTGTATCTTAAAGTTGACAGTGTTGATGGTTGCGATGTTGAACTACTTTGAAGGAGGAAGTGAGCGCAGCTAAAAAATGTGTATAACAATCTTTGCAATCATATTGTTTTCTTGGGATTCTCATGGATACATAAATAAGTCTAATCTGGGCAGAATATGAGTACATATATGAAAATATTCAGAGAAAAGCTCACCTCAATCAAGCCCCTCCATCATTGTCATATCACGTTGGAGTGCAAGTAGCCAACAGTTCGTGGAACATCCTTGATGTCAAGTTCCACCGCGGTGTGATTGTCAATGGATCCATGGTCCTCCCGATACGGGAGCGAACGCAGAACAGATATCTGCCCCCAGATGACATAAAGCCTCTGGTCATGGCATTTTTGAAGAAGTTACAGTCGGCTGGGATGGACGTTCAAGGGGTATGCCGCGATTATTGAGGTTGGACTGTGCATGACATCTGAATATGCTGCCGAGTTGGCAGTGTAATTTGGAATATTGACGTTGTCATTCGAGACAGGGAGAAGAGTCCTGGTTTGCATACAAAGGAGGTATGTGCTAGTAACTGTGAGTGAATGAGAAGAGCCTAGCATCCCCAGCACATCAGCCGTCATCCACCATGACCTCGCTCCTGGCTTAGGGAGTAGAATCTGTAGACATTTGGTACCTTTTGAACCATGCTCGTGGTGTAACATGAGTTGAGGATGAAGTGGCGAAGTGTTCCAGGATCATGTGCAGTAAGAGTGAGTGGTCAGCGATGGGCTATTGATCTAATTTCAGGAGGTGAGTAGTGATCTATCCTCAGCAGAATACCTCATAAGCACTCACAGCTCCTGTTGGCTTGCGAGAGGGGCTGGCTAACAAACGTCGAGGGCAGATGACGAAGAGTCAGAAAGAGTGAAAAAACAGGTTGGTTGGACATTTTACCGCACACGTCATATGCTCGGCTCATGGTGTCCGATAGCTGATGTCGGCTTTTTCAGGATGAGGCACTGCTCATTTGGAATGCTATAGATATCACGCTCAACATCGGCACATTGCTAGGCCAATATATGAATTGTCCCATGTTATAATTGAACCCATAAAACAAACTTATGATTAAATAGAACTAGTAGAACAAAAGTGTTCGAAAGACAATTTGAGATCCTTGCTAAATTTCTCCACCAAGGCGACAATCTCCTTGGTACATTCCTCCCGCTGAGACAGACGATTCTGTTTCCATATATGATATAAAGCCACATCCAATTCACTGACATCATGACCTGAGGCAACGAGAAGCTGCTTCAAGTCTCAACGGTCTGAAGTCAGAGGCAAAGAATCATGATCTTCCTGTATACCGGATGGAGTGGCAAGGCTGTCGTAGGAATGCAACATGGAATCAAGCGTCTCCTGGCGCAATCTGGAATGAGGGGGTTGATCAATCTCTATAGCAGCAACTGGTAAAGAGCGTTTTCGTTTACGCCTTGGAATCGAACTAGTTGACACAGGGGAGGGTAAAATGCATCTCTTTGCTTGTATGTAACATTCCTGGCATTTACTCGTGTCGAGACTGTTAGGCAATTGACATGGCCACTTTCCCCGGCAAGTCTTGCACTTGTTCAATCAGTTTACGATGTCACTCGTGGATGAAGTCATTGGGGACGTACGGAGATACCAGTCTCTTGTGGTAATAAATCCCAATCAGAGACATCAACCTTCCCAACCTTGGTTTTCACAAGTGTTCGAGCATCGGTTTTTCGAATGTTGAGGTATATCAGTTGACACCAACGATTGTCCCCGAGTTCGTGTCTAATGTGAGGCAACGATTTGTCATCCATACGAATCACGATGTCACGAAGTTCGATTAGCCAAGGGAGAGGATCATCACCCATAGATGGTCTCTTGCTCGGATCCCGAAGCACATTGTAAAACTGAAAAGACCGTCTAACGTATGTTCAGGTCAACAACACGATATGCACTTGATTCCACAAAGCATTCTCGTCACCAATCTGACCAACATGAGCTTTGTGAGCACAAATAAGTGATTTATGGCACGTACTGGAGAGTCCGAGACACGTCTTCCTCCACAATCAGAGACGGCCACTAGCAGCATGGCAGCAGTCGGGGCACAGGATGCTTCAAGCTCACGTAGCAGGTAAGAAGTCAATGACTGGGCGGATGTGAACAAAGCTCACCTCAACTTTCAAATGGAGAATCTACACTCCTCTTTGTGAGCGCACACACTTGTTTGTTCTGTGTTAAGAGTAAACAGATGACAGGGGCAAGCGTATGCACGTATACCTGCATTGCACAGAATTAACAGATGGGATATGGAAGGAGGAAACAATGTCGACATTACAGTGATAACGTTGTGATCAAGATTCCAGATGGGAGTTTTAAGAATGAGTCTAATGCTGAGAGCGAGGGGCAGTGGGTGTAGTGATCATGCGTTCAAGGAACCCCACATGTGGTACAGCTGTTATCAAGACCCAAGTATTATGCCCCTAACAATGATAAGAGAACACATTGAGTCACAAATAGTTGCCGCACCGTGGCTACACTCATCATGAATCACTGCTTTTATTGTGAATCACAATGGTAGGACACCAATAGGCAAACCAATGTCACAGTCACTCAGTTGCCATCAAAGAAGCAAACCCTTCCTTCCACAAGATATCAATTCTAACAATAGCGCAAGTACACCAGTAAACTCAACCATGCCAATTCGAATTCTTGATCAATCTTTAACGTCCAACATAAGGTTATTAGTATCATTGTTAAGGCACAACGCTCTCACCTTAGGAGAATGTCATCCACCAGATCTACATCACCGGGTGACATATCACTGACGTCCACCGATGAACAACCATGTTTTATGACCAAAATGTCTCCATTGAATCTTGTCGTCATCATCAACTGATTCAACAGAACATTTGGACACCAATACCATTGAGCTTTCCTCGCAATGAAGAAAAACATCAACGAATGTGCGTTGAGCTTTGATCGTAAATGAGGTTCTATCAATACTGTCTTTCTGCCAATGTTACAGTTGATAACGGGGCCGTAATGGTAAGGAGCACTGATCCAGTATCTTGAGTTCAGGTCGTTGATTGAGCAGGGACATCCGTCACTGACAGTGTCGAGAAATGGGATGAGCACAAGTTCCCTCTGGATGCACTTGCAGCTGTAAAACACTGCCATGCGACCAGGCCGCTTCAAAATATATCAGCGAGTGGGATTTGGTATGAAAAGACAAGAAGGGTACGTTTTCGACAAGTTTTTTCCTTCTATTGAAGCTGATGTTAGTGGTTGTTAAAACCATATGAAGGCAAGCGGCTATGTAATCTCAAGCCACCCTTAGGTTCATATTTCAGGCAATCCTCCTACCTAATAATGATGTTGCAGAGCCGATGGCGTGGTGACAGTCAGAACCAGCTATGAAAAGTGAGGAACAGGACCAATAATCGTAATCGAACTTCCATGGCTCAATCCCCCACTTATTTCTTCAATGTGGAAGAGGTCATCCTCGAGTTTATGGAACATTGCGATATTGCATCCCTCGTAAAATGGGCCCACATCAGCTCCAAATTTCATCGGATCGCACAAGGAATCATTCATTCTAGACTACGCAATATTATCGAGCCTTTTATTCCCGACACACTCTATCTTCAGTTTTTCACTCTTCTACACAAAACCAACAGTCTCATTGCTGGGTCAGCCGCGTTAGCCATCATGACGCCCAAGCTGACCTGGAAGCCCTTCGATCTTAATATCATGATCCCTCGAGGACGTGCTATTCAGTGGCAGAATTTTTTCGAACACCATGGTTTCCAAGGTGGTATTGTGAACAACCACACGAATCACCCTCGATACAGACATAGGCAGAAGATTTCCACCCGAGCTCTTTACATCTATCGTTCACATACGAAGGGGGTAAGTAAACCATGCATTCATTCTATGCCAATTACTCACCTTTTAATTCTCAGGAAGTCGTTCTAATCGAAAGCCGTGACTCACCCTTTTGGCCAATAGTCACCTCGCAAGTTATGTCGCAGATGAATGCGATCTCCAGCAGTCATATCTATTGTTTATACCCTGAACTTACAGTGGGAGCACAAGCGTTCCAAGGCTACCAGGGCGATCCCAACGAAGACCTGATCTTTCCTAGTCCTTTGACTGCTGAGCGGTTTTCCTGTTTATGGACGCAGGGCTTGACTTTGTATGAGGATGGTGGCGATTTCGATTGACTGTGTCATCCATTCACTTGTCCAGAAGTCGAGCGAGCTCTTTCGGGATACCGGGGGATTGGAGTGTTTCAATGGGGAGGATTCCAAAATTCACAACGAGGTCAGGACGAATTATTACCGGATAAATTTTGTCAACTAGTATGGAAATTAGGAGAATGCTGTCTAAACTTACATTGTCATTTTTACGCTAACTTCTATTTGACTTAGATATGCTTGTACATTTTATTTTGTTATGAATATTCTTTTCTTTTTCTTTTCTTTTCCTTTTTCTTTCCTTTTCTTACGTGTTTATGCTTATGCTATACTGCGGTTTCGATCGGACATTCTCACAGTCCTATTTTTAGTGTACACAACGTGTATTTAAGTAGAGCCTTAGCTGGCCTAAACCCCAGCTTCGGCTAAGGTTTAATTCTACCTAACATCGAACTCCGTCTTCGTGACTATTTGTCCCATCGACTTTCATCACCTTTGACTTACTAGAGTGTCGTCTACCGAAGTGCGAGTAGCGACCCTAGTACGATCTAAGTCGATAGAGTTAGTGGCTAACATTTAGCTGAAGCTCGTCCTACGTTGCCCAGCACCCCGTCAGAGAACGAACGCTGCCCAACGATTTTGAAACCTTACCTCTCTTCACCATTCAGCCGATACACTTCGTCGTCGCAGTAGTCCTCTGGGTAATCCCCTTCAACGTACTACTCCGACTCGCAGTACTCGTCTGGATCGTCCACTTCCTACTCAACGACCCCATCCTCGCAGTCTTCACGACTGTGTTCCTCACGTGCATTCTTGTCGGGCTTGGAATATCGACCATAGTACTAGCAGGCCTGCTAGCCGCGTTGTATGGATTATACCCCCGACTCTTCTAAAAACGAATCCTTTTATCCTTACCCTCCAGCTCGCCTCGTTATTAACAACCTTGTTAATAATAATAACGAGCACCGCCGAAAATTGCGAAATCTTGTTGATGAACGGTTCCAACTATGAGACCGACCTCAGCCTGATTATCGCGATCCTCGTCGTCCTCACCATACTTGCTGTCTATCAGCTTGCATGGTCAATCGTCGACTTGCACCAAGGATAGATCCACGAACGGATGCCCTTGCCCGCAAACATTCCAGTCATCTTCGCCACTTTTTCACTCTTTTTATTCGCCATCTTCTTGTACTATACGATCCGCTGTTGCCGACGTCAAGAAAGAGTTCGACCACAACTTCCTGTCCACTACGTGCCCAGCCAGCCCGCATATCCCCCGCAGGTGATCGACATCCCCGCGGCATCCCAACAAACCCTGCCAGAACCCCCTCAGCTAGAGTTAGCATCCCTATATGGAGAGTCCCTCTACGGATCGTCACGACCCAGCTCACGATCCTCAGAGTTGAGCACCGACTCCTACAGAAGCGCTACCGACGAGTCAACCAACTCCATCGACATCGCCGATACCCGGAGCGTATTCCTCCACCGAGGAGACTCGCCCCTACCAGGTCTCTTCGACGTCGATCCAATCGAAGGTGAGCCAAGTCCCCACAGAACAGGAGGACAAGACACCAGGCATCTGGAGCCGTGCGAAGAAAGCCCTGACACTGAGTTTGAAGGGGACGAGCTCACCGAGTGGGAAAGAACCCGGCTCGACAACCTCTACCCGAATACGGAGGAGGATGCAAATTATACCAGAGACAATTGGAGTGGAAGGTCTTCCACAAAGTGGGTTGCCGCAAACTGGGGAGACCCAGACCTTGGAGCAGAGCGAAGGAGGTTTATTCAGAGGCAAAAGGATGACTACGACAGCGATGCCGGAGAGCTTGGCCTCGGAGCCTCCGCAGCTACCACCAGTACAGATGGGCCACACCTTGTTTCAGGGTCCTGGCCAACCGATCGGGGAGAACCGGTCGGCTGGCATCCTAGGACAAGCTGGGTCTACGCCGACCAAAGGGAAGAAACTCCTATGGCCCGAGACGTGACCAGAGGAGAGCCCGACTCGCTCCCTGCGAGGACCGAGACCCCTACGCTCGTCCCCGCCGTCGCCCCGCACGAGCCGACGAGTGGGGAGCTTTGGAGCGAGTTCCCAGACTTCGGCGCCGAGGACCTTAGCACAGTTACTGCCTCTGAGCGACGTGCTGGAGTCACCAACTGGGAGCCGTCAGTTGCGGGAAGAGCATTCGCTGACCCCGTCCCTGAAACCCAGCGTCCTTGGACGCTCCTCTACCACACGCTCGTCGAGTCGCTCGAGCGACCTCGAAATGCCAGGCAGTCCGCAGATTTCGAGGCCAGAATGGACAGAGCAAGAGCGGTGGACCTACGCACTCGCCGCGCCGAGATCGCCGCCCTTCTCGGGCCCAACGCGTTCTACGACCTCCCCCTCGAGCCCGACGCCACACATGTTGAGATCGAGAACCGGCAGCGAACAGCTGCCCTTCGATACGCCAGCCTGGCAGAGCAAGCTGGAACTGACCTCGAGGCCCGAAGAAGAGCCTGGGAGGCCTATGAGTCAGAGATCGACGACCCCGATTCCGACATCGCTAGGCAGAGAAGGAACAGGGAGATCGACCGCATCGCCAGAGAGAGGAAGGAGGCAAAGGATGCCGAATCGGCCACCCAACAGTGCCCTCGAGACGGAGGTGATGACGGCGGTTTGGACCCTCCTGGTCCACCCCCATCAGCCTCGCCCAACGATCTTTAATATTTTACCGTGGCAGGGGTTGTACGAGATTATGATGGAGGACATGGAGAAAGACTCCCAGTGGCTCCTGACGGAGGCGGGAGAAGATTATCGTGACACGAAGCGGTCAGGGGACCTGTACCTGACGAAGAACATCCTGGAGGTAGAAACGTGGCATCGAGCCGCCCTGGTTTGGAACCTGGCAAACCCCGATCATCCCCAGCCAGGGTGTGCGGCATATCGGCGACCGCAGCCAATGCCCAACCCGCTCGAAACTGAAGCATTCTGGGCAGGGGCAGGACCGGACGACGACGAGATGGACGACCCGGGCGTGGGACCTTCAAACAAGGGCAAACAGCCCAAGTTCCCGTCTCAGCCGCCGCCCAGTCAACCGCCCCAGCAACCTGCGTATCCCGGCGGATATCCTCTGCTGGGTGACAACTATCGCCTCAGGTCACTCCCGAGGCCGCCGAACCCGCCAGTACCCCCCACGGTTCCGTCGCCCCCGGATCCCATCCTGCCATGGACGCTCGCCGGGGGGAAGGACAACAACCCCTGGAGCAACGTTAAACCTAAACTCATTACGCAGCCCGAATACTTCACTGGGGAGGCGACCGATATTAATCGGTTCCTTCACCACTGTGAAATGTACTTCCAGGTTTTTCCGCTACACTTCACTATGAACGCCCAGGGGCAGAACCCCTATCGTATTACCTTCGCTCAAGGGTACCTACGGGACAAGGCTAAGGAGTGGTGGGGCGACCAGTACTATCGTTATCGGGACAAAAACGGGCACTGGAGATTCCCCACGTGGGCCGAGTTCTCCGACGATATCACGAGAGAATTCCGGGAGGTCGCGGAGCTGGCAATCTGGAAAGCCGAATGGAAGAAGGTCCGGCAGTCAGACTTCAAATCCGCAGTCGAGTTCTTCGCGAAGTTCGAGCGGCTGGCCCACAAGTGCGGGGAATTCCATGATGAAAAGCAGATGTTCGAAGCGGTAGAAGCAGCAATTCGACAGACGGTGCGAAAGACGGTTATGCATGGGGACAATGAGCGCCCCACAACCTACGCACAATGGAAGGCGCGAGTCCTAAGGATCGACGCCAACTACCGGTACGACTTGGCCCAAGGCCTCGCCAATAAGACCTCCCCGAACCAAGGTGGTTCGGGTCGAGGCAATCAATCAAAGGGACAGGGTTCCAGTGGCGACAAGAAGGACGCCACGGGAACCACATACGGGGGTGCCAGGCAGCCGATGGAGATCGACAAGTTACGATCCGACAAGCGGTGCTTCAAGTGTGGGAACACCGGGTGGACCCCGAAGCATAAATGCCCCGACGATAAGTCAAAGTGGCTCCCGGTTAAACTTCCCCCCCGCAAGAAAAAGCCCAACGCCGCGCGCCTCTGTCAACTACTCACTGAAGCTGAGAAGGAGGAACTCGCGGACACTATGAAGGTCGAAGAAGTGAAGAAGGAGGAGAAGTTGTCAAAAGACGAGCCGGCGTCGAAGTAAGCGATTCGACGGCATCGGCAAAGGACTTAGTTTCATCTGGTGCGCCCCCCTGTACTACTAGTCGGACTTATACTACGTATGTAGGTACTCCGTTCGAACAATATATCAATTTTTTCGCCGCGTTGCCAATAGAAGAAGCTAAGAATGAAGAATCGCAAAACGCCCACGGCGTAGGAGGGGATTCCTGCCACTCCGCGCAGCCTGCGCTCAGTACTGAACCCCTAGGGGCCATCCGAGCTCAGGAACCCCCAGCTCACCGCACAGGGAAAGCCCCTCGAGGGCAGAGCCCCCTAGGTCGAGTCCCGACTGCACCCCAGACGTGGGGAGGTCACCCCGGAGAGGGAGAAAGGTCGACAATCCAGCCCCCTGGGCCTGCGTCCTCGTCTGTGAGGCTGTCTGTTCCAGAGGGAAGCGTCGGAAAAGCAGCTGAGGCTGTGAGCTCAAACGACCACCCTCACCCAGTAGCCCTTACATTGGCAAACAGTGAGGACCGTTTGAAGGAGCCAATATGTGTGCCCCCGCGAAGGGTTACCCGAAGTACCACCGGGTCCAGGAAGAGCTGTAAGGGAACATCCACCGTGGAGGTTACAACACCGCGCACAAGTGCCCGTGGCCAGGGCCGAACAAAGGGCAGCGAGCCCTCCTCCACCACCTCGATTACCAAGGGCGCCCAAGTGCCGCCTCGGGACCTTTCTCGTCCCGGTGACCAAATGCCACTTCGAGGGAAGACTCCCCCGGTTTCAGTAGAAGAAGTAGAAGACGAAGAAGCCTATCTCCGGTCCGACATTCCGGTCCACACGCCACGAAGGGGGTCGTCACCGGCTCCATCTC